AGTTCTACATCTGGCTCCATAGGCAGCAGAAAGAGCAGGACACTGGGCCTAGCTTGGGCTTCTCAAACCCCAAAGCCCACCACCAATGACACACTTCCTCCAACAAGGCCATACCTACTCCTACAAGGCCACACATTCTAATCCTTTCAAATAGTGCATCTTCCTATGAGCCCTATGGGAGCTGTTTTCATTCAAACCACCACACTCTGATCATACTCTGCTCATACCCCAGCCTATATGATGTTGCCACACACAGGGTGAGTCTTCTCAGTTAATCCTCTCTGGAAATCTTCACAGGCCAACACCTAGAGGTTTAGTTCCTGGTGATTCTAAATCCAACCAAGGTGGCAGTAAATATTAGCCATTCAACTGGGAAGTGCTATTCAAATTTAGGGGTGTAGACAGCAACGATAAACTCTCAAGCACCTGGTGAAGTCTGGCATAGCAGAAATCTGCCTGCCCAAATGCCAAGGGGACAAGGAGCTCACCACACACACCATTACCCTAGTGGGATCTGACAGTGTCTGCAGGAACTCATTTCCTTACCACACAGGGCTATCAAGCACTGCTGGTCCCACTTCTGAAATGTCCTTCTGTCCTTTGTGGCTGTCACGGCCTTAGTTCACATATGAGCTTCCAGCTACATCAGCAAAGTCATAACGAGGCTTTTGGTGTCCTGCTCTTCACATCTCTGAAACATTTGATAGTGACGCTTTTCAGCAAACAATACAGGTCACAGCCTAGCAGGAAGGCCAGATGACTAGAAAGTCATCTCACTTTTGAGATGAGGGATTGCCACCTCTGCACTGTCATCTGGAAAAGGACAAGGGCTGTAGAAAACATGTCCTATACTGACGCTGCTAAGATTTCTATGCAAAATAACCAAATAGATCACTATCCTATTTTCTAAAAATTGTCTTCCTATGCTGCAAAGATCAAGATTTACCTTCTATGAATTAGAGAGGGACCAAGAACATAGTACCTGGTTCCAATGAATAAATGTCAGCCTGGGAAACAAGCCACATGGGCTGATTCTCTCCACCTGCTTGATTTGACTCACATGGCATTGGTTAGCAGAACTTTCCCCAAACCATCCTGACTAAAAAGTTACATGAAGAAACAAATGCCAAGTTACTCTCTAGTCACAGAGAATTAAAATACCAGTTTCACAAAGTGGGGTTGGTCTCGGAATGGATGTAAGTTCTGGGAAGTCAAGATTCTAGTTTCTATAGATAATACCTGCCTTTTATCTCTCTAAAACGCCTGTAAAAGTGTGAGAAACCATAACATTTATAAATGAAAGGCAATTTTCCCTAACTTTGCTGGATCCAAAACACCACCAACTTCCGGCCTACATTTTAGTTGAAGTGGAAGAGCGTGCCTTCCTGTCCCTGTAGCAGGCCACTGTTCTCACATTGGAAGATTTTCCTCACTGCAGACCTTTCAAGACTGTCTCGTTTTCAAGGGGAGAGAAACATTGGTAACAGCTAAATTAACTCACATTGGGAGTGCTTCATTAGGCCTGTTCTAAGCACTTCACTATTCTTGGTTGTTTTCTTACTCTTTGTTCTTTGGCTCTTTGACTTTTTCGTGTTTTGGGGGGGGAGGGGGCACACAACCCAGATTCCAAATAAATCACCACAGAGTCTTATTCTTTCTTATAAATACCTCACCTTAGCTTGGCTTATTTCTAGCCAGCCTTTCCTAACTTAATTATTCCGTCTACCTTTGCCTCTAGGCTTTTATCTTTCTCTACTTCTGTATACCTTGTCTACACTTCTTACTCCATGTCTGGCTGTGTGGTGGGTGGCTGGTCTCTAACATCCTCCTTTCCTTGTTCTCTTGCTCTTACATCTCCTCCTCCCAGATTTCTCCTGTTTATTCTCTCTGCCTGCCGGCCCCTCCTATCCTTTCTCCTGCCTTGCCGTTGATCATTCAGCTCTTTATAAGACCAATCAGGTGTTTTAGAGAAAGGATCACTGCTTCAAAGAGTTAAACAAATGTAGCATAAATGAATGCAACACATCTTTGTATCATTAAATAAATGTTCCACAGGACAAACAAATGTAACACGTCTTAAAATAATATTCTACGACAGTTCACATTGGGGTTTATCTAGTCTTCACAGCAACATCAGCAGATAGGTACTGTAGTGGGCTGAAACAGGGGCCTGAGTAAGAGAGTGGGACTCAAGTTACTCTCTTCTAAGGCCTGGAGAAAAGTAGAAAGGTGCTGGGAGCAGAGGTCCTTACGCTCACATATAGCACTCGAGAAACCACACGCAGGATTGTATTTTCAAAGGAAAATATGTATAACCTGTTTTCCACCCAAAAGGTTGAGAATGGAGGTGGCTAATAGCTTAGGTAACCCCTGTGCTATCTGTATGGCCAGGCCATACCTGGCTCCCTCCAAGCTCACACAACCAGGATCAGGGTTGGCTAACAGTATAGATGACTTCTGCACTATGGGTATGGCCAATGGCTCTGCCAGGCTGCCACAAACAGAACCTGATGTGGTAGACAGTCCAGATGTCCTCTGCCCTATCTGTAAGACTGAGACCACACCAGATACCCTCCCCCAGGCCCTTAAAGTAACACATGTAGTCAATCTATAGAGCCCATCTTTAAGAATAAGTCACATGTACTTTGCAAAGAGATTCAATGTAGTCATATTTTAAGTGTTATTGTGCACATGGGATTAATTGTCATCAGGAAACTTTTGTCCAAATTGTACTGTGCTTAAATCTGCCTGAACTAAACCGCCTGGTGGCAGAGTCTGCAAGTTTGAACCAACTCTGGCTACTGGATTTCCTTCTCCTGTCACCTGGATCATTACTGATACCGCTGTTTGAAGAGCCGCCCACAGAAAGGGGAGTGTGACCTCAAAAGCAAAGACACACAAGGCACTGCTGTTCTCTCCCTGCTTTCTTGGATCATATGCACATTATGAATGCACACACATGTACATAAGGACCACTGTGCCATCTCTCCAGCCCTAATCACAGTTTAAAAAAGGGCCTTTCCCTCAACATTAACTAGTTCTGCCATAATTATTAACTATTTCTTGACTGCCGACATCTCCAGTACTAACAGACTTGAGGACAGAGCAGGAATGTGTGGTTTGTGTTTTCTTCTAGTCTAGCAGGCACCCATTTTCATTTACAGTAGGCTTTACAGCAAAGCCAGAAATTCCCTAAGAAAACAATCTGCCTTGAACTCAGTTATTTACCTGCCTCCACCTCCCGAACGCTGAGTTAAAGATGTGTGACCACCACTGCCCAGCTAGCAATTTTGATTTCTATTAACTATGCATGATGATTTCCAGTTAAAAATCTGAGCTGGGCTCATAAAAGAACTCAGTGACTGGTTGGTAGATGGTCACAGCAAAGGATGTCCTCACACAATCATCTAAACTGTGGTCCAGGGCTGGAGAGATGGCTCAGTGGTTAGGAGTGCTCACTGCTTCTAGAGTGGGCAGAAATTTGGCACCGGGCACCCACTGTGGGCAGCTCACAGCTGCCTGTCTAAGGCCCTTTTCTTATCTTCAGGGACACTCACACACGCCATCCACTCAGATAAACACATACACACATAAGTGAAAATAAATCTTAAAAAAAAAAAAACTTTTCACTTTGGCAACAAATAGACTAAATTTGAAACAATACACGGGTAACCCCTGTGCTATCTGTATGGCCAGGTTGTCGGGGCTCCTTGCATATCTTTTGCTCGCTATATACTTTAACTGAATTCACTCATTCACAACTGAAAACATGGCTAATGTAGATCATTCTCTGGACTGTATAAAATGCTATTATCTGATTCTGATACAAGGAAATCAAGCATACATGAAATAACTTTACACGGTGGCTTAGTTTCTGTACTTTGGCAAAGAGGCAAATCAACCTGCCTATCAGAGCCTGAGAGACTCTATAAATACGAAGACACTCAAAAGCTACACAGTGTGGGCTGAATAAACTAATCTGTGAACAGCGTAGCGAAGAACAACTAACTAAAGGATTGGGTACTCAAGTGTAGGTCAATTATTCTTTCCAGGTACCATTTAGAAGTTAAATAGCCAGGAATGGTGGTACATGCTGTTAATCCCAGCACTCAAAAGAGGCGAAGACAGGCAGATGTTTGTGAGTTCTAGGCCAGCCTGGTCTACACAACAGAGATAATATCTCACAAAGTGAGGACTAGGGCTGGGCCAACTGAAATGAGTCTTACGTACACCCTCGGCACTAAATCTTGTTGTTCTCAGTTGTTAGGACTGAACTATCTCCAAACTCATAAGCTGAAAACTCCCCCATATAATGTTATTAGGAATGAGTGTCTAGAAGGTTTAATTCTAGAACACTCAAGAACAGGATTTCATAAAAACCTTTTTCTCTCTGTTTTCTGCCATGTAAGCATATAAGATCGTAGCTGACCATAATCAGACAGTGGACCCTTTCCAATCTCCAGAACTGTGAGAAATAAAATTCTGTTGTCTAAACTATACCTGTCTATTTGTTATTGCAACCCCAGCCAAGACACCACATGCAAGCTGGGTTAAACACCAGTACATACTGTAGAAGTGGATCTCTCTAGTTGTAACTCCTAGAAAAAGATATTTAAAAGCTACAAGAGGAAATAATTGATTTTTGAGATAAGAGTTCACCGCGCTGTCCAGTCTACTTTAGACTCCAGCAGTTGTGACCGTCTCACTTCAGCCTAAGAAGATGGAAATACAGGTACAATGAACCTGCTGCCAAATTTTAATAGTCACAGGCAATTGAGTTTGATTGTATTTTATAATTATTTTTATTTAAGGGGCCAACTTCCTGAATAATGTTTAGTGCATTAGAACAGGAGCAAAACAAATTCCTATTTACTGAAGCACAAATTTCTTCTCCTAGCAAAACATGCATAAACTTGTAGGTCCAAGATGAAGTGTGGATGCATAGTGCAACTATTTAGGAACAGATTGTAAATATACAAAACTCCAAGCGACCTTTCAAATCATCTCTCAATCTTTTATTTCACCCCATTCACACAAGACACTTAAAGTAGCTTGCTCCAATGTTGCTTAATAACATACCTGGATTAGTTCAGCCCAAGAGCCTATCTCATCATGAGATAGGGAAAACTTAACAATACTTTAAGGAGCTCTTCACCCCACTCTGATCCATCACTATAAAACCAAAGTGAGGAGAGCAGCTCCATTTATGATGTTCCTAGAGCAGCTATGCCAGGGTGCAGTCTCTGGTGTTTGTTGAGAGTAGAGCGATACCTGAAGGCTTTTCCACAGTCACCACACCCAAAAACCTTCTCTCCTGAATGAATCTTCTGATGCTGAGTAGGGTAAGTGTTCCGGCTCAAAGTCCTTGGGCATTTGTTACAGTTGTCCGGTTTCTCTCCAGTGTGAGCACTCTGATGATCAGGTAAGAGCACGCTCTGGGGAAACGATTCACGTTCATTGCACTTATAGGGTTTCTCTCCTGCATGGGTCTGCTGATGCTGAGTCAGGTGGGAGTTCTGACTAAAGGTTTTTTCACATTTGTTACACTGGTAGGGTTTTTCCTCTGTGTGAGTTTTTTGATGTTGTGCAAGAGAGGAACAATGTCGGAAGGTCTTACCACACTTGGGACACGCGTACGGCTTTGCTCCTGTATGAATTCTCTTGTGTTGTGTAAGGTGTATTTTCTGGTTAAAGGCTCTACCACATTCATTACACTTGTAAGGTCTTTCACCAGTATGGATTTTCTTATGCTGAATAAGTGATGAGCCATAGCTGAAGGTTTTCCCACATTCAGGACACTGATAAGGCTTCTCTCCAGTATGAATTCGCTCATGCTTAGCAAGAGATGAACTCCGAATAAAGGCTTTTCCACATTCCTTACATTCATAGGCTTTCTCCTGGGAGTGGGTTTTCTGATGCTGATGAAGGTTTGACAGATAACTGAAAGCCTTTCCACATTCACTGCACTCAAAGGGTTTTTCTCGAGTATGAATTCTCCGGTGTTGAGTAAGAGAGGAGCAGTAACTGAAGGCCTTGCCACAGTCACTGCATTTGTAGGGTTTCTCTCCTGTATGAATTTTCAGATGCTGGGCGAGGGACGACCAGTAACTGAAGGCTTTTCCACATTCTGCACAATCATAGGGCTTCTCACCAGTGTGTGTTTTCTGATGCTGAGTCAGGTTTGAGTGCTGACTGAAGGCTTTGCCACATTCATTGCATTCATAAGGCTTCTCTCCAGTGTGAATCATATGGTGACGGATAAATGTCGAAGGCCCATTGAAGGCCTTCCCACACTCGTTACACTTATAGGTTTTCTCTCCAGTATGAATCTTTTGATGTTGAGTAAGGTGTGTGCTCCTGGTGAAGGTCTTTTCACATTCTTCACATTTGAAAGGCTTTTCTCCTGTATGAATTTTCTGGTGTTCCATAAAGTGACCTCTCTGGCTGAAGGACTTTCCACACTCATTACAAGTGTATGGCTTCTCACCGGTGTGGATTCTCTGATGCTGAACAAGATGGGTCCTCTGACTAAAGGCTTTCCCACATTCATCACATTTGTAGGGCTTTTCTCCAGTGTGAATCCTTTGATGTTGAGTCAGAGATGGGCCCTCAATGAAGCCCTTTCCACACTGGTCACATTTGTACGGCTTATCTCCTGTATGAATTCTCTGATGATTTATAAGGTTTTCACTTCGGCTGAAAGCTTTGTTACACTCGTTACATTTGTAGGGCTTTTCTCCGGTGTGCGTTCTCTGATGGCGAATGAGAGCGGAGCAGTAAGTAAAAGCTTTGCCACATTCGCTGCACTTACACAGCTTCTCTTTCGGGGCGGGCTGTGAATTCTGCTGGACTCTTGTTTTGGTGGAAGTTTGTTCTAGAACTACTTCTGTTTGTGATACAAGGCTTGAACTCACGCCGAGACTGCTCTCACACGTGGGTACTGCTTTTGCTGTTATTTTTATTTCCCTTGGCAGAGTCTGCTGATTTGCCTGGAGCGTCTCTAAACTCCCACCAGCCTTCCACGTTTCTAGGACGCTGCAACTGTAAGAACCAGCCCTTTTGCAGTTGCTTGTTTGGGCCTCAGAAGACAGATGTTCTTCAGAAGTGTCACACTCTAAGGGTGACACACCATTTCCAGGTCTTATCTTCCAGTCTGAAAGAAAAAAAAAAAGATACCAGTATTTTCTGGACAGAGCGAAAGAAAACTTGTTGGAGATTATTGAATCCTTTGAGGGCTCTCAAATATATAAGCTTATTACCTGGGAAGAGAGTGGAAAGATCTAAGGAGAATAAACTGAGAGTGCAAAGAGAATGCACACTTCAATTCCACAGATGATCTCTAAGTCAAGCAAGAATAACAACAGTTAAAGGGATAGGTAAATCTAAGAGGTGAGTAGGATGTGGTCTTACACACCTTTAATCTCAGCACCTGGAAGACTGAGGTACTACTACCACAATGGCAGTCCTCACCTTATTGTGAATGACACCCTGCTTCAGTAGTCTAAGCGTCAGTCTGACTTCATTGCTGTAGTCCCTGAAGGGCCTGAAGACCTTTGAGCATGACAAACTCCATGTGAATGTGAATAGCACTGGCCACATGGAATCCCAGGTAAGACTACCCTGACTACAACCATCACAAAACTTCTAGTTGAGCAATGTGGGGCTAAGTTAAAAAGGTATAAGGATACAGACAATTCTCAGAAGAGAGAGTTTGGGGTATCACTATCAGTGCAGCCCAGGTAGAGTACAGCATTCCTGCCTGCCACCATGCCCACAGACTTCCCCAAGAATGGTGGACCACTTAAAGCATATGGTCACGGCATTCGCCCTCTGGGTGACTGCACTCTGCTGGTGGCACCATACCCCAGACGCAAGGACACAACGGCTAAACAGACTGGGGCCAAGCATGCTGTGGTGAATGTGAACAAGGCAGACACCACGCAGGCCTCAGAGATGGTGGGGTCAGCACAGCTGGAAATCCAGGAGCTGCTCACCTAGTTTGGCTTTGAAGGAGAGGAGACTCCAGTCATTACAGGCTCTGTGCCCTTGAGCAATGTGATTCTGAGCTAGGTGAGAAATCGCTGCAAAAGCTGCTGGATGCTGTGGACCCTTACATCCTGGTGCCCACCTGAGACCTGGAGAAGCCCTGTCTGCTACCTGTAGAGTCAGTGTACTACTCTATTCTTGGCTGGGACACAGTGGGGACTGCTACATTAGAGCACGGCATGCTGAAGACGGGAGATGTGTACGAGTAGCTGGGATAGAACACGGGCATTTACACTGTGGTGATTGACAGGCACTGAGACATTCCACAAGAGCTTGGAGAGGCCTGAGGCAGGGGATAATCTGGGTGCTCTGGCACAAGGCAGAGGCGGAAAACTTTGAGCATGATTTGGTGATAGTTAAGCCAGGCTCAGCCCGAAGTCACCAAAGGGTGGAGGCCTATGCTTCCATCCTCAGCAAGGAGGAGGGCAGCCACCATAAACCCTGTGTCCCGTGTTCTGCCTATCATGTTCTTTCTGACTTGGGGAACGGGGGAAGGAACGTGCCATGCCAGAGGTAGACCTGAAGCTCAGAATATGCTCGCGGCAGCCCACGCTGTGAGAGAGAGGTGAGCACTTCACCTTGCAGGATGACAACAAAGCTCCGCCACTGTCCCTATCACTGAAACACTAGCCATGACAAAGGAGAACAGAATCTCACATGGAGAGGATCAGGTTTTTGAGCTTAGGGCTGCCCTGATCCTTCCTGTGGACACAAGCTGGGCCCAAGCAGAGTACAATGGACACGTCTGCTCATAAGAAGTGGCCTGGTAGGTGAAGTAACTAATTGTTCCATGAATTTAGGAAAAAAAAAAAAAAGGTAACCAGAGACCACTGAGGGTACAAAGAAAATGACTGACTCTGAAAGATGCAGTATGAATTGAAATTCCTTGTTAATGAGCAACAAAGCAAAATTTTAAGGATGCTGAGATAAACTCCAGACAAACAGGAGACACTTAACTAAGACTTAAGATTGTTAGCCTGGAAACCAGAAGTAAGAATTCATCTTTGCTAAAAATTTAGAAGGAAATAATACATAATAATTCAAATCTACCATTTTGGAATTTGGAAGTAAGAAATGGAGGACTATATGGTATAGGAGTGGAAGATGCCAAAAACAGCATTACACTAGGATGCTCATGCGTAAGATACAAAATTCTAGCTAAAGTGGAAAGAAAATAGTTGAAGCCACAGGAATGTTTATGAGAACAGGACAGAGGTGGGGAAGACCCTCAAGGGTGACAGAGTAAAAGAAAACACTTCTCCAGTTCTACTGGTAACAGGACGGTAAGAAAAGACACTGCATTGGAAGTCCAGTCACACACTGCAAGCATGAACAGAATGCAGACCCCATGCTGCCCACTATCTCCTCCCCATAGCTCCACAGATAATGGGATAGTGTGCATCAGTGTAGGTAGATTAACAGTAGCAGAAGAACTTCTTCAGCAAAAACATGGTCACTGCACATAGCTTTAGCGATGTGTTCCAGACATGTTTTCACCAAGAGAAATGATACCCAGAGAAATATGTTTGTATAGCAAATAATCATAAAGAGTATCTTCTGAGGCTGATGAAACAGCTTAGTCAGTGAGGGTACCTGTTGCTGTTGGGCCTGATAATGAGTCCAATCCCCCTGCCCCACACAGAATGAGACTACAGCAAGTTGTCCTCTGGCCTCCACATAAACCTGCACTCCTGGGCAACATACAAATAAGATAAATTCAATAAAGAATATCTTCTGAAAAAAAAAAGAATATCTTCTGGATCTACTGTAGGCACTGTGTGGCACATGAAGGGCATAGAGCCTTGTGCTATCAAGAAAGAGAACACAGAGTCTTGTGCTGTTAAGAAAGAGAAAGTGAGCTGGGTGGTGGTGGCGCACGCCTTTAATCCTAGCACTTGGGAAGCAAAGGCAGATGGATCTCTGTGAGTGTGAGGCCAGCTTGGACCACAGAACAAGTGCCAGGACAGGCTCCAAAGCTATACAGAGAAACCCTGTCTTGAAAAACAAAAAGGAGAGAGAGAAAAGTGTTTGATAACAAATCACAAGTATGAAACACATGAAGGCAATGTGGTATCAACCACAATCAATGCCCACACAATGTCATATTTTCTACTCAATGATCAAGAGAATTATCTAAGAAAAGAATGAAGGATTAGAAAAAATTCTAGAGGTAAATGCTGACTAATACTGCACCTCTCACAAAAGCAATCTATATAAAAATTTATAGGCATTGGCTAACATATTCCTATACAGTATTTGGAGAAGTAATTGAGGGTGTTGATAAAAAGGCTACAAAACAAACAAACAAAAAAACCAACAACAACAAAAACAAGCAGACAGACCTGTGAGAAAAACCATAATCAGGATTACAGGTCTTCAAGACATCGTCAAGAAGGAGACAACTGGGGGCCTGGAGAGGGAGCTCCATTAGGAGCACTTACTATCCTGACAGTGGAGCTGGGTTTGGTTCCAGCAACTACAAAGTGGCTCACAACTGCCTGAAACTCCAGTTCCAGGAGATCTGACACCCTCTTCTGATCTCTGTGGGCACCAGGCCTGCATATGGCAAAGAAACATACATGCAGGCAAGCAGTCACACATATACACCAAAATGAATAAATAATATTTCTTAAAAAGTACAGCAGAAAGTTTTACTAATAGGTAATACCAAGAGGAAAAATAAATTTCAGAGATGAAAGTCAAGGTTGAGGCAATAATAAATTTAGACACTGATAAAAAAGGATAATCAATGAGCATAGACAAATCTGCCAAGAACTCTGAGATAAGCTTCATAGTAAAATCAAAGAATCTGGAAAAGGAATTGAGATAAAATTTAGAGGTATAATTTAATAAAATTATAGCATAAAATTACCCAGGCCTACAGGGGGGGAAAGGACATCCATACACAACAAGCATATAATACTACAAATAGACAAGAATACGTTAGATAATCAAGATGTTAAAATTACACACACACACAAAAAAAAACCAAAAAAACAAAAAACACAATATTAGAAACTGTATGTATGTGGGAAAAATACCAACCCACATACATCAGAGAAAAACCCAAAAAGTCAGAAAAGCAAGTCTTGACATTTCAAACCCTGGAAGTAAATTAACCAAGAAGATTGCTACCCTGGGGCTAGAGAAGTGAGTCAGTAGTTTTAAAAAACTTGTTGCTTTTACAAAGGACCCAGGTTCAGTTCCTCACAGCCATCTGGTGGCTCACAGTCAACAGCAACTCCAGTTTCAAGGTTCTGACCCCCTCTTCAGGCTCTTCAGGCTCTGTGGGTACCAGGCACACAAGTGATGCACACACATACAAGCAGGCAAAATATCCAAACACATTAAATAATCTAAAAAGAAGACTGTTGAGGCTAGAGATAGCTCAGTGGTTACAAACACTGGTTGCTCTTCCAGAGTGAGGGTTTGATCCCTAGAACCCATATGGAGGCTCACAACTATCTTTAACTCCACTCCCAAGGATCCAACTCTTTCATCTGAACTCCAGGAGAAGTGCATGTATGTGGTGACAGATAAGCATGCAGGTAAAGAACCCTAAAGGACCCATACACACAAAATAACTAAACTAAAAATTAAAAACTGTTATCCTCAGAAAAGTTATCTTTTCCAACATTTCAAGACAGGCATGTGGTAGTTTGAATGTAATTGGCCTCATAAGCTCAAAGAGAGCTTTAAGAGGTGTGGCTTTGTTGAAGTAGGTGTGGCCTTGCTGGAGGAAGTGTGTCATTGTGGGGTAGGCTTTGAGGTCTTCTATGTGCAAACTACTCCTAGTTCAGTTCACTTCCTGTTGCCTGCAGATCAAGATGTAGGCCTCTCAGCCCCTTCTCCAGCACCATGACTGCTGCACACTGCCATGTCCTGCCATGATGATAATGGTTTAAGCCTCTGAAACCGTAAACCAGCCCAATGAAATGTTTTTCTTTATAAGAGCAGTCATGGCGTCTCTACACAGCAATAGACACCCTAAGACAAAGCATAACCTAAGGCAATTAGCATACTGCAGGACGCACTTAAAGGGATACAATAAGCAAGAAAATGGAAAACAGCACAAGAAGAGTACGTGAGAGAATACATTTATTTCATGACAGGAAAAGGGAGCCAGAAACAAATCCAGCATGCCTAATACAGTAAAACAGAAACCTCTTAATACAGTAGGGAACAAAGAAAAGAACAGCAATGATCCAGTCAACCAGAACAACCAACAAAACCATAGGACACTGCAAACTCTTCAATAATAACTTCAAATGCAAAAGGCCTCAACTCACCAATGTACAAACACAACTGACAGGATTAAAAAACAAGATTAAACTATTTGTTGTCTGATAGAAACACACTTTCCCTTCAAAGACACTTACAGATTCCAAAAGATGGAAATCAACACACCAAGCAAGTGCAAACTTTTAATCTACTCTGTAGATCAAACTCAGAGATCAACCTGTCTCTGTCTCCCAGTGCTGGGATTAAAAGAATGCACCACAACCACCACGACCACCACCACGACCACCACCATCACCACCACCGGCTAAGCAAAGGCAAACTTATATTAAGCTAGCAGAGCTATTTTGATATTGGATAAAGTAGACCCCAAACTAGTCAGAATAGATAAAGAAGGCTACTACATATTAACAAAGGGGACAACTTATTAAGAGGATATAACAAATGTTTAGGTTTCCAATTTAATGTAACAAATACTGAAAGGCACAAAAGGCCAGACAGGCCTTCATATAGAAATACTGAAACACTTGAATAATCCACACTCACCTTTATATACGTTCTCCAAATCAAAAATCACCAAAGAAACTTCAGAGCTAAATTGCACCATGCATCAGTTAGATTTAGATATCTGCACAACAGTCTACCCATCAGATACAGAATGTACGTTCTTCTCAGCAGCCCTTGAAATCATCTCAAAGATCACAAAAAGGCCTTAATAAACACAAAAGGATCAAAATTAATTCAATGTATTTCATCAGGTCATAATGGAATAAATCTGGAAACTATCAATAAGCAAAGACACAGAAACAACATAAATTCTTGGAGACTGAAAAAGATTCTTGTGAATGAACAGTGGGGTCATTGAAGAAATCAGGGAGGAAATAAAGAACTTCCTAGAATCAAAAGAGAATGATAGCACAATTTACCAGAACCTCTTCGATAGAGCTAAAGCAATTCTAAGTCTATAGTTGTAAGTCCATACATTAGCCACTGCCCTCCCCCCAAAAAAGGCACCCAGAGTAGGTATCACAAAGGAAAAAAGACAAATAGCAAACAAATAACCTAATGATATATCAGTGTTAGTTATACACACACACACACACACACACACACACACACAATTTTAGAAATTATGTGTGTAGGCGTATGTATTTGGGTGCCTATGCCCAAAGAGGCCAGAGGTATCAGATTCTTTGGATCTTGAGCTAGGATGGTTGTGAGCTATCCTACAGAGCTACTAGGAACTGAACTTGGGTAGTTCAGAAGAGCACCAAGCTCTCTAACTCCTAAGCAATTTCTCCTCCCAACTTCAAAGGTCTAGAAAAAAATAATAAAATTAATTAAAAAACAAAGAAAACAAAAAGCAGCAAGCTGTGTAGTTTTTTGTCAACTTGATATAAACTAGAATAATCTGGGAAATGGAACTTCAGCTGAGGATCAGTCTGGATCAGACTGGCCTGTAGGTAAGTCTGTGGGGCATTTTCTTGATTAACATTAACTGGAAGGGCCAAGCCCACTGTGGGTGGTGCCACCCGTGAGCGGGTGGTCCTGAGTTGCAGTAAGAAGGAAGCTGAGTGAGCTTTGGAGAGCAAGGAAGTAAGCAGTGTTCGTCCATGGTTTCTACTGTAGCTCCTGCCTCCAGGTTCCTATACTGTTTTGAGTTCTGGCCTTGGCTTCTCAATAACGAACTATGACAGGAAGTTTAAGCCAAAACAACTTTACTTCCCAAGTTGTTTTTGGTCATGATATTTATCACGCAATAGAAAGCAAAGTAGGACAGAAGCCAAACCCAAAAGCACATGCCTAGAAATAATGATTAGGGTTGAAGGTAAAGAAAGAGGGACTTAAAAGGGCAATGCATAATGGCAAAGAGATAGTTCCTTGAAGAGATAAATAGATTGACAAATTTCAAGCCAAACCAACAAAAGGAACAGAAAATGCACCTTTGCAAAATTACAGATTAAAAAGAAACTGTTGGGGCTGGAGAGATGGCTCAGTGGTTAAGAGCACTGCCTGCTCTTCCAAAGGTCCTGAGTTCAATTCCCAGCAACCACATGGTGGCTCACGACCATCTGAAAGGAGATCTGATGCCCTCTTCTGGCCTGCAGGCAGACACACAGACAGAATATTGTATACATAATAAATAAATAAATAAATAAATAAAATTAAAAGAAACTGTTTACAAAAGACACCAATGAAATTCAGAGGAGTACTAGGGAATACATTGAAAATGTATTCAAAAATCCAGAAAATGTATTCAGAAAATTTTGGAGAAAGGATAAATTCCTAAATACATGTGAGTTAGCAAAATTAAATCAAGATAGATGCAATGTTTGCAGACCCATAACAGTAACGATATTTAAGCAGTAATAAAAAGTGTCTCCAAAAAGAGAAGTCCAGAACCAAATGAGTTTATTGATGAATTCTACCAAACTCTGTAGAAGAGCTAAGATTATACTTCTCAAACTTTTCCACAAAGCAGAAAAGGAGGGTAACACCACCAAACTCATTTTACAAAGCTAGTATTACTCTGATATCAAAACCAGATAGAGACAAAACAACAAAGTATAGACTAATTTTCTTGACAAATATAGGTACAAGAACTTGCAGCAAAATACTTGCTGGCCAAATTCAAGAACATTTTAAGATCACAGATAGCAACCACATTGCTTTTTACCCCAGTATTGCAAAGCTGATTCAATACATACAAATCTGTTAATAAAGTAAGATGTAAATAGACTAAGGACAAAAATCACATGATCATCTCAATATATGCAGAAAAGGCATTTGAGAAAGTTCAACATCCTTTAACCAAGATAGTCCTGAAGAAACTAAGAAAAAAAGGAACATAATGGTGCTGCAAATGTCAATTTCATTTTTTGGTTTTTTGTTTTTTGTTTTTTGTTTTTCCAAGACAGGGTTTGTCTGTATAGTCTTGGCTGTCCTGGAACTTGCTCTGTACACCAGGCTGCCCTCGAACTCACAGAGATTCACCTGACTCTGCTTCCCCAGTGCTGAGATTAAAGGCATGCACCACTACTTCCTGACTATGATTCCATTTTCTCTATGGCTGAATAGAATTCCATTGTGTAGATATATCACATTTTCTTCATCCATTCCTGTGTTTACAGGCATGCTGTACTATTCTGAATAGTACAGCAATAAACAGAGTGACTAGATTATTCCTGAGTCAGAACGTGGAAGAAATTCCTTGTGCAGTTTGGGAACTGATGACTTAGAAGAAGATTATTCAGAATCTCAAGGACAGAATGATAAAGTGACAGAATATGAAACTATACTTGAGAGTAAGAACAGAGTAAGTGCTTAAAAAAAAAAGCCTGCAGGTGTGGAATTCATTTTTATTTTAGTTTGGATGGGAACAAAGAAAAGAGACTGAATGAGAGCCAGTGTTGAGTAAAAGCATCTGGAAATAGCGTGTGTTTCTGTTTGATGCTAACAGAAATGGAACCCTAAAACAGAAAGTGAGGAGACAATCCTGGACCAAAAGTAAATGGGGGGAGAGAGTATGGAGAGAAGGTTGAGAGGCCTGCTTTAGGGCAATCAGGAAGGATGCCTCCTAAAAGGGAATGTCAAACCGAGTCTCCTCTCTGCACAGGTGATGCTGAGTACACATCTACACACAGAGCCACCTCCCACCAGCCTGGCAGCTGCGGAGAGCGGTCCTCTGTTGTTACACACTACTCACCTTCCATGGAACCAACAGGAACGTACGACTCCTCAATCCATGGCTCTGTCCCTTGTTCTAGCTGGGAAATCATATCAGGTTTGGAAACCTGGAGTCCTGCTCAGAGGGGGGAAAAAAAGGAATCTGTCTGCAACAAGGAAAAAGCACCACATGAGAATGCAATCTCACCATTCTGTAAGACATCCACATGGGAAAATCTGGAGGGACGGACAGCATACAACTGGCATGAACAATGGGGCAGCGGAGAAGCTGATCTGAAGAGAGAACCATTAGTTTGCTGCTCCACTTAGCAATGAGGAGAAACTTCCAAAATATAGAATTGTTGGTTCCTAAACTTAGATGTCTGTCACATCTAAGCACCTAAAGTGCCTTCCACATCCCATCTAACTTTGGGACCACACCCATCTGCAGAGACCAGGTGTGTTCCCTCCTCCAAAAAAACCATCAAAACTTGGGGCTACCCTACCCACAGAGACAAGGTGTATGTTTGCCTCCCACCGTTTCCGTTACCTACAGAGACCAGGTACATACCCTTTCCCCACATCCTGATCTTTACTTGGGGGTATTACCCTCACCTATAGAGACGAGATGTGTATAATTTTCCAATGTCACATCTCTGAACAAATCTCTCTGTGTAGGATCCAGGTGTTTCCATTCTTCCTGGGTGAAGTTCACGACAACATCCTTAAAGGTCACTGATTCCTAGAACATCAAATGTTCTACTGCTTAGACTTAGGAAATAAGAAAAATTAATAATATCCATAAAAGCAAAGCAGGTGATAAAAGTGAAACTAGTAGGTCACTAGGATGTTCACTTTTGGAAAAATTTAAGAGTACTGTTGTGTGATATTTGCACACTGCATGAAAATGTACTGCTGTAACTGGTGTAATAAAAGCTGAATGGCCAACAGCTAGGCAGGAGGCATAGGTGGGATTTCCACACAGAGAACTCTGGGAAGAAGGCAGAGTGGCCAGCTAGACATGGAAGAAGCAGAATGGGCAGAACAGGGAGCTGAGGTAACAAGCCACATAACAGAATGTAGATTAAAATAAATGGGTTAATTTAAGATATAAGAGCTAGTGGGGGGGGCTGGATAGGTAGCTGGGTGCGGCAACCACATGGTGGCTCACAACCATATGTAATGAGGTCTGGTGCCCTCTTCTGGCCTGCAGACATACACACAGACAGAATATTGTATCCATAATGAATAAATAAATAAATATTTTTTAAAAAGAACTAGTAGGATGAGCTTAAGCTAAGGCTGAGCTTTCATAATTAATAAAGAATCTCTATGTCATTATTTGTGAGCTAGTCAAAAAAAAAACTCATCTATACAGTACTTTGCCCAAAGGACTGGTGTCAAGACTAAAATAAACACACCCATGTGAGGGTGATAGTATAGCTCACTGGCAAAGCATGGACACGGCCCTAGGGTCAATTCTCAGCACCAAACCCAAAACCTAAAGTTCAAAACCAAAACCTTTTTTCCCTGTGAAGTACCTATTTAGGTACCTAAGTAGGTGCTCAGGTGTTACTGGCCAATGCTGTCCTTGTTCTTCCTCCACACCTCTGAGTACTAAGACATAGCAAATATTAATATTACAAATGGGATGGATGAGGAGACTTGCCCTATTGCATTTGTGTGTGTGTGTGTGTGTATGTATGTGTGTGTGGAGAGAGAGAGAGAGAGAGAGAGAGAGAGAGAGAGAGAGAGAGAGAGAGAAAGAGAGAGAGAATTTTAAGACAGGGTTTCTCTGTATGACAACCCTGAACCCTGGCTGGCCTAAAACTCAGAGATTAGCCTGCCACTGCCTCCCCAGTGCTGCAACTGCACCGCACGCCACTGCCCTATTACATTCAAAGGACACCAAAGTATAAAGTAACTGAAACAGTGTCATGTTATAGAATAAAATTCAGTAAGAAGACAACAGCTCAGAATAGGCCCATGTGTTTAATCATTTCTCAAATTAATTAAGATACAATCGATTAATCACTAACTAATACCATTACAATTAACTTGATCAAACAAAAATTCAAGTAAGACCTTGACATCTTTACAACATACCTAAATATTCCTGTGGGCTTAAAGATTATGTTATGGGGTGGTTGGTTTGAGAGACGGTCCTGCTATATTATCCTGGCTGGCCACTGCCTCCTAAGTGTTAGGAAATTAAAGGTCTGTACCAGTATCACCAGCTTCATTTTGGACTTTTGGCCTCTATGGTTTTGAGCAAACTAAGCTTCTGTGATTATAGTAACAATATGAAACTACCATATGTATTGGACACTTCACCCAACATGAACAAATTTACCTTCCTGTATGGTACTCTCTGATCATCCATATGACGCCTAATATTCTGAGCAAAAGAAAAGTCAAAACAAATCTTTGTAAATTTGAAAAGACTCAAGTCACACAAAGTGTGTTTTCTGACCATGGATCTGTTCGCTCACTACTTAGAACAAGATGATGGTTTTATGAATTTCCATGTATGTTAAAACTTATCCAGTTACAGTTGGCCTCTACATCTGTGGATTCAAGCAACTGTGGATTAAATATGTTCAAAGAACGTGCACAGATGTCGTTCTTGTCACTGTCCCCTAAACAATACAGCAGAAGAACTACATGATGTTTACACTGTCTTTACAGTGTACTAGCTAAGTGTCTAGGATGACTAAGGTACACAGCAGGCTGGGGACAGGTTATATGCAGATATTGTGCCACCCAAGTGAGGGGCTTGAGGATCTACACGTTTCGGAATCTGTTAGGTGTCCTAGAACCAGTTCCTCCGGGATACAGAAGAATGACAGTATACTTTAAATACACGCAGTTTACTGTCACAGTATTCCTCAAAAGAAGTGATGCCAGCAGTACTTAAGCTGAAATTGGGAAGAACCGGGGTGGGCGGGTTGGATAAGGATAGGGAACTTGATGAAGGGGGTTTGAGGTTGATTAAGGCCTGTGGGAAAATTCTCTCTCCCTCTCCCTGCCTTCCTTCCCTCCTTTCTTTCATCTAAGTTCTCAAGAAGATACATTTTTCTAACAGCTTTATGAGGTCCTATTTCCTACACTGAAAACTATTATGAATCACAGAGGACCTAGAGAATAAAGTCTTCACACTTCTTATGAGATATTCAAGATTTTTCATATTCTGACCGAATTCAATTATTTTTTAATTTTTCAAAAGAAGTCATCTCTGGCTGAAAGGCACTTAAGGAAATGTTCAACATCCTTAGTCATCAGAGAAATGCAAATAAAAACAACTCTGAGATTCCATCTTACACCTGTAAGAATGGCCAAGATCAAAAACACTGATGACAACTTATACTGGAGAGGTTGTGGGGAAAAAGGAACACTTCTGCATTGCTGATGGGAATGCAAGCTGGTACAACCCCTTTGGATGTCAGTGTGGCAATTTCTCAAAAAATTAGGAAACAACCTCCCTCAAGACCCAGTAATACCACTTTTGGGTATATAGCCTGATGTAGGAGGGTCTTCTTTCTATGTGTTGCTTTCATTGGTTAATTAATAAAGAAACTGCTTGGCCTGATAGGTCAGAACATAGGTAGGTGGGGTAGACAGAACTGAATTCTGGGAGGAAGAAAGCAGGGTCAGAGAGAGCTGCCCACCATGAAGCTGCCAGGTAAGACATGCTGAATCTTTTCTGGTAAGCCACGCGCTCCTGGTGACATACAGATTATTAGAAATGGGTTGAATCAGGTTGTGAGAGTTAGCCAGTAAGAGGCTAGAACTAATGGGCCAAGTAGTGTTTAAATGAATACAGTTTCCGTATAATTATTTCGGATAAAGCTAACCGGGCTGTTGGGGGCCGGGCAGGACAAAAAGCAGCCCGCAGCTCCTTTTACTACATATCCAAAGGATGCTCAATCATGCCACAAGGACATGTGCTCAACTATGTATGCTCATAGCATCTTTGTTTGTCATAGTCAGAACCTGGAAACAACCTAAATGCCCCTCGATTGAAGAACGGATAAGGAAAATGTGGTATATTTACACAGTGGAGTACTACACAGCAGAAAAAAAAAACGGTCTCTTGAATTTTGAAGAAAAATGGATGGAGCTAGAAAACATTATTTTGAGTGAGGTAACCCAGACACAGAAAGACAATTAATACATGTACTCACTCATAGGTGGTTTTTAAACATAAAGCAAAGAAAGCCAGCCTACAAACCACAATCCCAGATAACTTAGACAACAATGTGGATACTAAGAGAGACTTACATAGATCTAATCTACATGGGAAGTAGAAAGTAGAAAAAGACAAGATCTCCTGAGTAAACTGGGAGCATGGGGTCCTTGGAGGAGGATTGAAGCGGGGAGGGGAGAAGCAGGGAGGAGAGCAGAGAAAAATGTAGAGCTCAATAAATATCAATAAAAAATGTATATAAAAAAAGAAATCATCTCAGCCAGGCGGTGGTGGCGCACACCTTTCATCTCAGGAGGCAGAGGCAGGAGGATCTTTGTGAATTTGAGGCCAGCCTGGTCTACAAAAGCTAGTTCCAGGACAGCCAAGCTACAGAGAAATCCTGTCTCAAACAAACAAACAAACAAAAAAAAACAACAAAGCAAAGCAAAAAAGTCAGCTCCTCCAAATCTTTCTCAATTTATGACTGTTAGCAGTACGTACCTGCACACCTCTGCTTATAACCCTCTCCATACCTAGACTCGGTTTCTCCCTCCAATATTCAAATGTCACTTGTCCTTCAGAGAGTACAATTCCCCACTGTCCATACAACGCTCTGCCCCTTACAAACTGCACACACCTCTCCCGTAGCACTCATTTCACCTTTCATGAACGAATTCACCTATTTTGATTTTTATTGGTCATTTTACTCTTGTCAAGTAAAGAATTAAAGGTTATACTTCTCCCCCACACCCATAGTGTTACAAGATACTAAGTAAGAGGTAAGTGGTGAATACATCCTTGAAACTGGAGAGGCAGAGAAGGATCCAGGTGAGATCACAGGGCAGATGAGAGCCCAGAAAGACTCGCCAGTGATGATTTGGGGGTAAACACACCTCACAATAAAAGATACATTATTCTAAGAAGTGACATGGCACTTAAGAAAAATCTCAACTTACCTGAAAACTAGTTGATGGGAGTAGAGGATGTCCCTCGTGGAGACCGGTGGATTCTGCAAAGGACAGGCCTAAGGAGAAAGAGGCCACGGTGAATTTGACTACTCTGTTGCTGCAAGCAATCCAGAAAAAAAAACTCACCTTTCTTCCTAGAAATAACAACCATGTCTCTCCTTCCTTTATGTCTGAATCCCCCAATGCCCCAAAGGAGTCAACTGAGGCCTCTGTACTGTCCTGAGTAGGCTCAGGAGAAAAACACACTGCCTTAAGATTCAGCTTTTTCTCTTGATATTTAACTACTCACATGGTTCATACAGCTAAATCTGAGGTCCTCCTTAAGTAAGGCAAGACATTCCTGCTCTCTTTTCTCTGCTACACATAAAATGTCAATAAACAGCAGGAAATGAAGGTGAATGCCTTTAATCCCAGCACTTGTGGAGCTCTGTGAGTTTAGCGACACACACAACGTACACAGTTGTGCAATTACATATACCTAATGAAAGAAAAGACATGCAGGCAAGTACTAATACACATAAGATAAAAATAAATCTAAAAAATTTAACAAATAGTAACATATTATACTCTCAGGTATTTTTAAAGGAACATTTAAAGAACTACATTTTTAGGCACCACAATGTTAGAAATAAGTTAACTAGGAACAAACTTCTCAGAAGTCTAGAGATCTTACATGGACCTATCTAAAGAAATGAGGCCAGGTTTCTTGAAGGAGAACTTAGGAGGAGTTCTAACAGCTGAATTCGCAGGTAATGGCAGCATTGTGAAAGAACGGTCAGTCTCTAGTGCTTTTAAGATCACAAGAACAGGAATTTTTGGTAAAAGGAACTAAAAACCAAACATGCTGTTTGCACCCAAAATGGATAGTTTAGGGCCACAGTTGCCCCGCACAAGCTTGAAAACATTGCTATGTGCAAGGTATTTCATTGAAGAAATAAAGCACTTTTTTCTGACTACAATTTATTACTCTAAAATGTAATAAAGAAAAACATCAAGAGGATTAGATATTTTGAACTGTTGTTCCTTTCCAAATTCTTATGTCCGGGAGACAGTATTAACTCTTCCAAGGCTCTTCCGATGATGTAATCGGTTCCTTTACCCCTAACCACATTGCTTCCTCCTCCCACCTCTCAGTTCGGAGGCGGGGGGCCCTCCGGCCGGCTCTGCCGTGATAGTCCCCTTTACCTGCCATCTCAGGAGCTCTACGTGTTCAGCTAGAACGTGGACACGTGGGTAGCCAGGGCAGCTTCAGTCTGGGGCTTGAATATCCCGCTCCCCTCCCAGGGTGGGTGCCTTATGCCCTCCGTGGTTGGCCTACAAGGCACAGGATGCAGTCTGCAGCACGCGTCTTACAGTCGCACATTAGACCCATACTGGGTAGCCAGGAGGTCCTGCCCAAGAGAGGAGAGCACAGGGGAGGACTGAATTACTACAGAGAAGCACACAGTACAACGGGAAGGAGCAGAGCTCTGCCTTGTAGCAGAGACTCTACTTATGAGTCAGTCTGGCTAGGCTCCCTCCACCGGGTGGGTCCGCGACCTCCTACTTCCCAGGCAGCACCTCACCTCAGCCGGCCCGGCCCAGAACAAAGAAACAAAGCTTTGGGGAACAGGCGGGCCCCGGCATCGCCGAGGGGAGGCGCGCCCCCTTCCCTGACTTCCCGGCTTCCTCCAGCGCAGGCCTCATTACGCCATGACGTCACACTCCTAGGGCACTGGCAGTTGCCATGGTGATACCTGGACTCCAGTCTAGTGACGCATTCCTTAGGCTCCTGGATCCAGAAGCATGGGGTGGTCACTTTGGATTCAGGATGTGAGCCTTCGCGGTAGAACTGGCCAAATGCCCACCTCTTTCCACGCCCACAGTCGGCTTAGCGGTCACTTCCGGTCGGGCAGACCCTTCCCCTTCTTTTCCCCCTCCCTCCAGCACAGATGCACGTCTCACCGTGGAGCAGAGGACCACAATTCCCAGAATGCAACGCGCGGCGTTTCTCAATTACTTTTCCCAGGCTTCCACTAACATTGCTGCCTCACCTGGTGGGTCGAGAGGTTGCGCCTAGCTAATAATTGTGTCTGATTGCTTGGATTGTGAGCAGAGGTAGTAGTCCTACTGGTCTTTGAAACAAAGACAGATACAGACACCTGCAAGGTTTTGGGTCCGCCTTCTCCACCTCCCAAGGGTCAGGACCTCCCACACTGAAAATTTCAAAATGCAAGCACACTTTTCACCATTCAGCCCTACTTTTATTATCTGGCCTGCATTCTTCTTTTTAGAACTTTTGTCGTTTTGAAAAATATCTGTCGTTACCCACTGAATTGTCTTCATGTCTTCGAAAAATGACCCACTTTTTTATAAAAAAAATGCTAAAGAAAATAGAAGGAGATGGTGGTACAGTATTTTAATGCTCTCTGCATGTTTCTTTGCCTAGCACCTACGGCAAATCTGCTGGTATGCCCTTGACATACACAGAAGACTCCAACAAACAGATTTTTTTACTTCAAAGGTGTGGCACACGCAACTAAAGGCCTCTTATGTTCCCAGTTATTTGACAGAAGGTGCTGTCTCCCTTCCTTAGCTGACAGCACCGTACCTAGAAGTGGTATGCTACCCGTGAGGAAGTTAAGGAAAGGGAAGAATATTTAGAGAAACGGTTGCAACAAGACATTAGATAAAAAAGAAATGCAAACATATCAAGCATGGTTTTTGGTTTTTTTTTTTTAAGATTTGTTATGTACCTGTGTTTTTGCACATTTGTGAAGGGGGAATGCTTCAGTATTCAGAGAATGATGTAAGAGCCCCTGGAACTGGAGTTACAGGAGCTTGTGACCCATTGGACATGGTTACTAGAAACCCCTAAACAGTCTCTGCAGCCCCCAACAATCATGTTTTAAATGGGGCAACTATTGGAGAAAACTGAACTGCTGGTGAGGAACAGTACAGGAAACTTTTTGGAAGTGTCTCTATGATTTCAAAAAAAATGAAATTGAGTAAAAGGAATAGACACGAAGCACAGAAGACAGAAAGCCAACGCCTGCATAATCGTCAGGAAGGAGGGCTCAGATAAAAAAAAGCAGCTGTCAACATTTTCTGTGTGGCAGGCAAAGTAACAAGTGTCTTGTATCTAGTAAGTCAATTCTTAAAGCAATTACGTGGAAATACTGTTAGGAATATTTTCTCTAATTATTCTATTGTACACAATGGACATTAAGTAACAGCTTGAGTAATTTGCTTTAGGTCGCATAGACAGCAAACAGGACTGCTGGGTTACTATAGATAGTTGGTAGACAAGGGAAGGAATTAGGAGTTTGCCTAAGGCCTTTTCAGGAATAAGAAATTTTATTGCTGAGGCTTTAAATATGGGAGAAACTTAGGTAGCATGAAGTTCTTGGGTAACAAATTTTCACTAAATTTCTTTCTGTTTTCTTTGTTTCTCTGGTGTAACATAAGAGAGATAAAAAAAAGCCACTAGCAGCTTGTGGTTGTTGGACTTTTTCTCTTCTCCCCTTAAACTTTTTCAACAGCAACAATCTAGTTGTCTATGAAGTGCTCTTATATGAAGGTCAGGTTTTGTTGTGCTTGTACTAGAGAGGAACCTAGTGCCTCAAGCATGCCAGGGAGGCGCTCTACCGATGAGTCACACACATAACCACTGTTCTTTCTTAAATTCACAATGTACTTCAATTCTATAAGAGAGACTGCTGTCATGGGTTAAGAATGCTTGGGGGAAAAAAAGAATGCTTGGGAGCAACTTCTAACATTAGCTTCCTTATTTGCTGGCTACAAACACTACACAGGTTTCAGTCATGGAAATGGGGTTCTGCTGATTTAAGTACCTGGAAATACAAAAGTGACTTTGGAATTTGATAATGAATAGAAGCTAGAAGGACTCTTGAGTTATATAGTTTAAACTAAATTATTTTGAAAAGATGGATGCAATATCCATTAAGTTCAAGTGACGGAGCAGATGGAAGTGGGGAGCCTGAGAGAGAGCTGCAGCCACCTAAGAGATTCCATACCTTGTCACTAGTAGGGTGACAGTCAAAGGCATGTATTTTTCCTAGGTGAAAACTCCACAGCCTGGGAGATGGTACTTGAAAATAGTGTTTGCACCAATAATCAGAGATGATGTTTACAGAAGACAGAGATATGAAAACTACATATTCCTAACTACAGCTTAGTTTTAGGAAATGTGTATTGAAATGAGGGCACACAATGATACTCCTGCCCAGAATGCTCAAGATCTAGGACACTGACAAGAAAGCGGAACAAAAAGGAACTCTCCTTCACTGATAGCAGCAATGTCAACCGGTACATCCCATCTGGAGGACCGTTTCTTATAAGACTATTCATACTCTTAACTTCTATTCAATAATTCTTCTGCCCCTTAGTGTTTCTGCAAAGGAATAACAAACTGACATCCGAAGAGTATTTGTGTATATGTTTGTAGTAAGAGTACAAGAATGAGCAGACTGTTGGACATAGGTTAGTGGAATATTATTCAGCAAATAACAGAAATAAGTTACCAAACTACGATAAGGGGGTGGGGGAAGGAAGGGCATTAAATGGATAACACCAAGTAAAATTAGTCACTCTAGAAAAGGTTGCATATAGTATGATTCCATCTATATAACAACAACAACAAAAGCCACAGAGATTAAATAAAACTCACTGTCGGGGATTTGGGGGGTAGGTTGAGCAAAGGGGGCTGGGTGTGTGTGTGTGAAACACATAGTAGTTTATTTTCATGACGCATACCAATCCCAAAGACTGTACAACACTGAGCAAGCCCTAATGTAAACTGTGGTATTAATAATAATTTACCATTACTGGATTATCAATGATGACAAATATGCCACAGGAAAACAAGATGTCAACAACAGGGAAACTGGGGGACGAGAAGGAAAGATGGAACATACTGAAATTATATTTGTCCTCCAATTTTTTTTTAATAAATCTAAAATTGTCCTCCTCTCCCAAAGGATGTTAATGTAGAAATATATGAATATTAAAGGTGCTTCCCGGAAGGTCAGAAACCGAGGACAGGCAATTAGAAGCTGAGGGTCTGGTGATCTTTTTGATTAAGTAGCAGTCATTTAGTTGGCTGTGTTATACTGTTGGGTGAAAGAGAGAATTTAAATATTTAGTCTTGAATTCCAAGTGAAATAGTCGAGAGACTAACCCTCCCCCTGGGCACTGCTTAACTTTGTTTGAGACAGGGTTTCTTCTGTCCAGGAACTCACTCTGTGGACTCGGTTGGTCTTTGAACTCAGATATCCTCCAGTTTCTGCCTCCGAAGTGCTGAGATTAAAGACGTGCACCCCCACCACCCATCTGTCTATCAGTCTTTAAAGCGATTGAGAGTATTATTTTTGTATTGGGCTTAAGTCTTTTTTGGTAAACAGCCTTTTAAAGCTTTCTGTAAATTATTAAAATCAGATGTTTGATTAAGGGCTCAGAACTTGTGATAATGAAGTCTGATTACACTTTATTTTTATTTAGACAAAATATGTATGTACACCATATAGCCAGGTTGACTCCAAACATACAATAGTCTTGTTTCAATATCAGTGCTGGGACACAGGAATGAGCCACCACACTTGGCCTGACAGTACTTCTTTGTGAGGTCAGTTGGGATCTGGTGCGGGAAGAGAAACCTCCAGTTGTCTGAAGACCCTGTTAGGACTCCTCTTGGCACGCTCTCCGTTCCGAGACTGTAAAGAGATTCTAGCCTTTAGTATCTCCCGTACACTTTGGAGGATTCTCTTCTACTGACAAATCTGACAACCTACTGCCTTCCCTTTCAATCTTGAGTCACAGCAGGTTCTAGAATTTACCTTTATGGATTTCAAGAAGATATACCAACTCATGTAGTCGTGGCCGAGTGGTTAAGGCGATGGACTAGAAATCCATTGGGGTCTCCCCGCGCAGGTTCGAATCCTGCCGACTACGGGCTATTTTAAATCTGGATTTAATTTCGGCCAGGCTTCTCCATTGACCCCCTACAGGGAAGATTTTCCCGTCTGGCACTAGCTCCTCTTCTGTCGCTTCCACGAGTTCAGCGACGGGTTCCCTAATACTCGATCTCTTTTAGGCGGCACATTCACCGGAGACTTTTTCCTCATCCAGGTCCAGTTCCCTTTTCCAGTCTCACAACACACCTAGCTTGAAGCTTCAAGGACTCGACTGTGATTTCACAGGAACTAATGCACAACAAAGGCAGAAAATAAGAGAATGTCTTTCTCCTTTTCCTAGTTAAGGCTCTTAGCGCCAGCCATCCCATCACGCAGGCGCGGCTCCCTTAGCGTGAGTAGCGAACAAAAGCATACTAAGCGCGTGCGCCCAGTTGCGTGGTGCATGGTAAATACGTAAAATACAAATGCACACGTAGGACTCTGGAACCTCAGACACTTCCTGTACAGTCCCTGAGAGACAGTTCTCATCTCTTCCTCGTTAGTATAGTGGTGAGTATCCCCGCCTGTCACGCGGGAGACCGGGGTTCGATTCCCCGACGGGGAGAGCATTATAATCCTTTTAAAATACGTTTTCATTTGAAAAATGGAATTCTCAGTTAATTACATTCCTTCTCTCTTTATTAGAATTCTTCCAAACTAAGGAAATACCACCTAAGAGTAAACTATAGAAATCACAAGGATTTTGCTACTATGCATATACCGCACATACAAACACCAACTCGACCAAGAAGACAAAATACAGTAACCAAGAAATCAGTATTGGACTAGGAAATTCCTTGCCCCTCCTGAGTTTATGTACTAACTAACAGAGCCAAGGTCCACAATTTTGATATTCCTGTGGAAAAAATTGTAGCCTAATTAGAGGAAATATTACACAAACTGAGAAACAATC